TGAAACTTTGTAAACTATTGAACTAGGTGAAAAGAAACAGATAAATTTAGATGTTGCAAGTAAATGATTGTGCTAATTCTCAGATCCAGATATAAATGTAAAACATTTATTATATCATAGTTTTGTTTATTTGGCACATCAAATTTAATCTATTTAGTAAGGTAAAATGCACTTCTCATATCATATAGGATTTATCTTTATAAGTCAGCACTAGTATTGTCTAAATTTGTAGTCACTCAATGGTCATATTTAAAATTATTTCTCTTAAATTTAAACAAAATCAGTTGAGAAATAGTTGGGTAGATAAAATGTTTACTGGTTAGGTAGAGTTAAGTAGGCAAAAATTCTTGAGTAGAGAGAAAAGTTATCAAATTTTGTGTAAGATAAGCTTTAAAAAATTCACCATTATTTTGATATATAATATCTACTATTCACTCATCTATTCGATTCCAACAAACATTAGTTAAGCACTTATGTAACAAATATTGTGACAAACACTTTGTGGAATATAGGAGTGAATAAAAAGATAAATACAAAGATAATATTAGAAGTTACCTATGAAGCACACTACAGATAATGTCATAGAACCTAACCTCAAGTCTGTATAATATACTATGAAGGCTATTTATTTCCTAATTTGAAATTTAAATTATATTTTGGAGCTCAGAAAAGAAGGGATTAAAGAAATCTTTCTGCATAAGTCAGCACCTAAGTTCCCATTCTACTCTTAAAAACATGCAAAGCCACAATGATCATGAAAACCTCTTGAGCTGCATTTTCAGAGAAACTAGGAAGCAGAATTGAAATGTATGTATTGAAGAAAAGCCATGAGAAGAAATTACAGAGAATAGTATGAGAGTTATAGAATTTCTCACTGGCAGCACATTTCAGTAGGCACCAGCAAAAGTATATTTCCTGAAGGTGAGTGGCTCATTATGAATTGGGAAACTATACCTTTTTGTTGTTAGATTTTCTTTTTTCCTGCAGTAATGAGAGTGGGAACAGGTCTGAGCAGCACTGATGGCAAACCTGCTCTCGACCCAGACCTGAAGTGGTTTGGATGAAAGAAGCAGAGGAGGGAGAGCTAAATAAAATTTCCCAGAAGAGAAATTTTAGCACAAAGCAATCCAGAAAGTTATTTGTCAGCAGAGGAGAGATCATCTGGATTTTGAAATTTTTAAAAATACTATGGAATATCTATCTCTATAGAAACTTCCTGCAAATAAATTGTCCAGGAAAACTCCTACTCATGCAGTGATGAGTAATACAAAAGGAACTAGAAAAGCATCTATACAAAGATAATATACCAAATGAAGCATAAAGAACATTGCAGAGTAAACACACTGCTATGGTGCTTGTGAAAATCATGAACAAATATTTCAGCATGAACTGAAAAAAAACTGCTTCAAGAAATTAGAGCCTCTATAACATTAGACTGAAAACACAAGAACTCAAGTAAAAGATGTCAAGAAAATTTGTGAGCTGAAACATGAACTGTCTTACCTCAGAAAAGAAGTATAAAAAATAATTGCCAAAATAAACATGAAGGCCACAAAGAAGAATGGTCACTAAAACAGACAAACAAACAAACAAAACATAACAAGTAAGATAGAAGATAGAAGCATGAAAAATGAAAGGTAAAGACTTTAAAATAACTTATAATATTAGCCATTTGCAGTAGCTGGAAGTATTCCCAATATATGCATAATTCGAGTCCCTGAGGAGGAAAGCAAAACAAAACAAAAAGCAGAAATATATATTTATATATATAATA